CAATAGCTCAATTGGTAGAGTGCTCGCTTTGTAACCGGGAGGTCGTGAGTTCAAACCCCGACCGGGTCATACCAAAGACTCTAAAAATGGTACCAGCAGACTAACCCCCTGCGGTAGTGCATTGCACAACTGTGTGTCGCCCAAGAGCTACAGAAATGGATATGGGCACCACCCTACGCTCTGCATAAGGGCATGGGAGACCTTTCTTTCCTTTCCTTTCCTTTCCTTTCCTTTCCTACAGAAGTATTTTGTGTTTGTGCTACTTGGTAGTGAAATTTTTCACAGAAGGGTAAAGGTGGTAAGGTGCTCAGTTGTGGTTTAAAATCTGGAAAACGGATGACTTTAAGTTATTGGGCCGTACTTAATTTGCCCTCTCAGGAAAGCTATGTCAAACTCTCTGTAACGTACGTAGTGTTTAACAATGCCTCGCTGGATGGTACCTATTAATAAGGTTCTGGGGTATGGATCCTTGGACCTTCCCTGTGTTAGTGGTTAAAACCTTACAGTCTGGTCTCAGGTTTAACATCTTGAAAATGTGATAGTCACCTGTTATGTCAATCCGTCCACGAATGCGGCAAAATCTTAATAAGTAGATTAATATCCAAATATCAATAAACATATGAATAAAAGAATTGTGTTATCGTTTAGCTAATAAAAGTGAGGATCACACATAGTTACTGTTGTCCAATGTTTTTAGCATAGTGTCTCTTTTATCGAAGTGCGGGCGGATTTTCTTCGGAAGTATAGTAGTTTCCCACCGCCCTGCTCAACTGGCCGCCCGGTGGGAGTGTTACACCCGCAGGAGTTTTGCACGGCAGGAGTTTCGTTATCGTGGTGGTCCTAATTAAAGTCATGACGTGCAAAACCTACCGGGGAGTCTTGTTTAGTCGGGCGGCAAAGAGGTCCTGTAGTCCTGATGAGAACAGACACAAGCCACGGTAGACTGGAAACCAGGTCACAGAAATTTCTAGCTTCATATCTAATACTGATATTAGTGATAATGACTAAATATATTCCGTGTTAATTTACGTTTATTTTCTGGAATTATACGTGTTTATCCCTTTAATTTTCTCATTTAAACGACTGCGTCCTAGAAAAATGCTGTTGATGAAAGTCACATCGTTGTAGGGCAAATCGTGGGGCAAATCGCCTAGCCAAAGTTAAGGATCGTGACTAGAATTTTAAGATAACAGGTCTTATTTTTCAAACGAATATGTTGAATGGCACAGGTCTTTAGAATTATTTTTCCATGCGTCAGTGTACGAGTTAAGCGGGCGACGGCGACGTCAAAATCTCCGCAAGTCTTTCATGTGACGTTTGTCTCAGTAAAAAAGGGATCTATTAATAATAATGATTGAAATAGGGAAAATTGAGAACAGAATATGATTCAACTTCTGCAGCCAGTGTCACTACATTTCCTGTTGCAAGGGATGTGTAACGTTTTCGCGTAGTTGAAGCTTAGAGTAATTTTTCATCAAAGAAAATATCCTTTTTTGTGTCGTTAATGAGGTAAAGCAAAATTGTTTAAAGCGTTCTTCTTTGCTTTGTTTGAAGAAGCCGCGCCACTTGATTACATATTATGGACTTCAGACGTCACATAATTTCAATATCAGCTGAAACCGCCTTCTACGCCCGAGGCATTTTGGAATACTTAGAGCGAAATAAACACCGTAGCTAAACAGTATCCAAATTTTGCACTCAAATATGACCAAAAGACGTCTTTTTTTCCCCTTTCTTCCAAATATTCAAGGAGGATAGTTCCCATGACTACAAGCTTTTATTTATTTATTTATTTATTTATTTCATTTTGGTTTAATGAACTAAAGGAGCCTTCATAATACTTTATTTAAAGTATGCTTTTAAAATATCAAATTCCATGTAGTGTATCAAAAACTAGGAATAATGGACGCTGACCTTTACGCATCGCTGAAAGTACGCTTAAATATCAGATTTTATGCAAAGGCCCACGTTTCTTTTAATATCAGCTTAAATGATATAATATCAGCTTTAATATCAGCCTAAATAGCCTTTACACATATTTTCTTTAAAGTATGCTTGAATATCAAATTCCGTGTAATGTATCAAAAGATTTTTATCTAAGCTCATAATGATAATATCAGGTTTAATTTTAGCTTAAAGAGCATTTACACATACTTTATTTAAGGTATCCTTAAGTATCACATTCCGCGTAGTGCATGCATCAATAGCTAGGAATACTGGACGTCGACCTTTATGCATGGCTTAAACTACGCTTAAATTCAATGCAATGACTCACGCTTTATTTTATACCAGCTTGCTATTTGTAGACGTAGAATTCTCATTCCTTTCTTGGAACACCGAGGTACATGTAATTTACCCGCCTCCATTATTACTTCTTTTGAAACCCACAGTAATATTGGGTACTTCAAAGACCCTTTGGTTGACGCTGAAAGTTCAGAGTAAAGAAGCCAAGCGTGTTACGTGGTACGGTTCACTCATATCGGTACCGTCAGCACTTATAGGTTCAGCTGTGTATAGCCAAATATGGCCTAGCCAAATATTCCAAAAAGCAGTTACTCAAGCAACTGGATATGATTTTGGAAACGGTCCGACGTTTCAGCTATTATCCACTAGCTTTCGTCAGTGACTGAGAGACCAGAAGAGAAATGCAGGTTTATAAGCACAAACTATTGATTGATATGCAAATAAAGTGAAGACAATTCTTTTGGAAGTCGAAAAGGGAACAAAAGTCAGACTAGCTGAAACGTCTAATCGTTTCCAAAATTATATCCAGTTGCTTGATTAACTGCTTTTTGTATTACCTGGATGTCTAACCTTCATCGACGTAGCCAAATATGGCCTACCGAAGTCCCCCAACCATGGTTAGGAGTAGTTTGAGAGGCTATTGTCATGTATGTATGATAGGATTTTCATGGAAAGCCTAATATGGCCTCCAAAACACTACCAAACTCCCCTAACCCTTCTTAGGAGTACGTAGGCCCGGACGTTATGGTCATGTATCGTGCTTTACAGATCGTAGCAAAATAAGGCCTTCAGAACACTGTCGAACTATACCTCCAAGGAGTGGGTCGGGAGGCTGTTGTCTTGTGTATGTTAGAGAGGCTTGCCATATAGCCGAATAAGGGCCCCCGAACACAGCCGAATTTCCCCCTAACCCTTCTTAGGAGTAGGCCGGGAGCCTACGGTCATGTACCGTGTGATAGGTGCTTCACAGATAGCCAAATATGTCCTTCTGAACAATGTCGAACTATACCTCAACCATGGTTAGGAGTGGGTAGGGAGGATATGGTCAGGTGTTTGTGACAGAGTCTTCACACATAGCCGAATATAGGCCTCCAGAACACTACTGAACTCCCCTAACCCTTCCCAGGAGTAGGCCGGGAGGTTATGATCATGTACCATGTGATAGGTGCTTCACAGATAACCGAATATGGCCTTCCGAATTAGTCTCCACCAGACTTCTTTTGCGGGCTGATTAAATCGTAGAAATCGGCCTAAAAAGGGTATTAATTGGCAAGAAAACGTAGCCAGCCAGAGAAGCTCCATTTGCCCCCGAGCACAGCTGAACTTTCCCCAACCATGGTGAGGAGTAGGTCGGCAGCAAGGTGGGCTGTGGTTGGCCTGTGCTCGGCCAGGTCGGCTACTGTTCCGCTACACCAGCCGAATGTTTCGAAATGTAAAAAAAAAACATTCGGGTGTTGACGGGAGGTTGGGTAAAGGTTGTGGACTGGTTTTCTGGAGTTCTGGCGTAGATCAGCAGTGTTTAGGGATTAAACTTGACTAACATTTAACTCAAATTTGATTTGTGTAAGAAGATATGCCTGGCTTGACTCTGGCCAGACTGCGCCCGAACAAGCTAACCTTGGTTGGTTGGTTGGTGCTCGGGGTAAGGCTATGTGTTTTACAAGAAAGACAAGAAGAAACACTGTACTTTAGGTCAAAAAGAGTCCATTAGCTGTCAACAGTAAGACATTTAATACAGTTCGTTGTCCTTGTGTGTTACGGTAATTTAAGGTAAACAGGTGTTCTCAGCAACTGACGCGCAGAAGATAAAGCCTTGCGTTAACGCTTACGTAAACTTTACGTACAAATGTGTAAGGCTTAGGCCTGACGCCGTCGCTTACGCCAGGGTCTCATAAACGGCCGTCAACATTTAAAACGGTCAATGACATACGGCTAGATTGTCGATACCACATCCGACAAACATGATCCGACATAAGAACGTTTTTAAGGCGCAAGGTACATACAAACAACATCGTAAATAATAGTAAATATATAAAAAAAGAAGACAGCACACAAGCTTGAATTTGAACCCGGACCAAACAGCCAAATCCTTAAACCCTATGCTTAGAAACGTCACAGTTCGGACGGAGTGTTCTGAAATACTGAAAGCTTGCCGTTAAGCTGTTTCAAATGGCATCGAACGTATACGAGATGGATATCAGCACCGCCGTCTGTAATGTTCGAAATCCAGTACCACAACATCTGAGCTAACCCTAGGATCGAACTTGCGCCCACCGGTAACGCAATCCCAAAGGCCGACTTTTACCGACTGCACTACAGGGACATTTTATCTCAATGTTAAAGGCACCCAAAGCGATTTCAAGGCAGCAGAACTTGATTTTCTTTAAAAAATTGTAAGTTAAGTTAACCCTAACCCAAAGCATACTCATATCTGATGCAAAAAATTACATGTTCGGCCGCTGATGGAAAAGGGCTGCATCTTTTTAACAGCGCCTGGGTTCTAGATTTTTATTTGTGGTACCACAAAATAAAAGGACTCTTTAAGTAGCGTATGTTTTGAACTACATTACACGTTACAAATAAGAATAATACAGAGTATATGGTAAGCAATTTGGTATTAAATTTCAATATTGGTTCTCGTCCAGATTATATATATATTTTTTTGTTTTGCCGCTCAGAAATTGCGTTTTATATGTGTAACAAAATAAACATGATTTCTCGACGAATAGCATACTGTGTGCAGGACGGGACGTTACCTGTGCTCTGTCTCCTCTCTCTGCTAGCCGCTGCTGGTAGGGGAGCATCTCAGCTGACGACCGGCACACCAGCAACGTCAGCACCGAGGACAGCAGCAGGGCGTGGACGGTCTTCATCTCGCAGTACGTCGACGGCAGTACGGCTCTCTGACGGTGATTTCTGTACGTGGACGACGCTGACGTCGTCTTTTATAGGAGAGAAGCCCGTACGTAAGTCGGAACTGTGACGAAGGCGTAATAACAGGGTGGTTCCTGACGGGGGCGGTTAAGGCTATAACGAGGCTTAATTTGAATAGGAAGCCACGCCCACGGTTCGGAAGAGAACAAACGGTAGTGAAGGCCGGAAAATTAGTGGATTTGGACATACAGGCTTCGTGACTGGACTATTTTCTGAGGGGGTGGAGGGCTTATTAGTAATCTTTTTTTACAGTATTTGTATCAGTTTTTCATGTTTTTGACTACCAACCTAGATATAGTGATCGGTGTTTTAAAAGCTACATTCGGCGGCAAGTAAAAACACGGTAAACATTTTAAAACTAATAAAAAAAATAACGTCCTGCGAAGACTTTGTAGCTATAGCTATAGCCAGCAACGTTTATTTATGATATAGATGCGTGCTTAAATTAGCAAAATACATGTAGTTCAGCGGCAGAACAGTTCTCTGAATTGTAAGATCAGAATGACTTCAAAATAAACTAAAACTAAAATTTTCTTTAACTCACTACAGAGTGTCAGACTTTCACTATGATTTTGCTATCATTTTTGCACAGATTTCAGAATTGTCCTTGGGGGCAAGTCTGTCAATTTTTAACCAACACGGACTTCTCTGACGTAAGCCTCTTCAGAATGACGTGTATCCACCGACAGGGGGTTAAAATGAAAAGAAATATTCCAAGAAGTGTTCACATTAGACTAATACAATTTCCTTCCCGTTTTCCGAAAATAAGTTCGAATATTACGTCATCAAACATGACAAAAACGTTTTACATTTGTCTTATATAATTTCCTTTAATGAATACGGAAGAGACATCAGATTATGACGTAATCAAAATACGGCATGAATGTATTTTGATGGCATCACGTGGCGTAATGGTCTTGTGGCGTAGCGGCAGAGTGCTCGACTCGGAACCAAGAGGTCCCGGGTTCGAGTCCTGACATGCCACCGATCTTGTGCCATTGGGAAAGGCACTTAACACGACTTTCCTCACTTCGCTCAGGTGAAAATTAGTATTGTATTGCCCCGTGTTAGTGGCGGCAATAATATAAGTTGCAGTCACTACGTCTTGTGATTAGATGTTGGAATAAATGAAATGGTCGGGGCTTTTGGCTAAGAACCAAGAGGTCCTGGGTTCGATCCTCAGACAGGCCGGATGTTCTTGAAAAAGGTACTTTCACATGACTTCCCTCCCCGTACGGTGGAAAGACCCCCTGAGGGCCTTCCGGCTAATCGTTGGTACAGTGTCCAAACACTGATGAGGCCACGTACGGTTTGGTGTCACCAATGTGCCAAGATTTGCCACTAAGAACCGTACATTTTCTAATGTATTTTTGTCACGTTTTGTAACTGACAGTATGCAATACTATCATCCCCACTTCTAGTACCACTTAGGACACTAGTAAAACCGACAACGACCCCTGATCTACCCGATTCTACATAATCTCTCTAAATTGAATTACAGACGTGGGTCAAACTGCTCTAAAGTCCAGCTTAAAGTCCTCCAAAGCTTTTATGATAGGGTTTTTGATCAATGGCGAACGGTGTGATCTGGCATACAAATCCATGATTCACGTTGAGGGTTTTAAAAGTATAAATCTCAAGGGTGCCGTCCATATGATACAGGAAGCGTAGAAGTGTGTTCAAAGCCAATAAGTCAGGGTTAAGACATTGATAGGTCACAGGAAATGAACCTTATCCCCGGCCAAATGAAGTAGGTAGTTGCCGTCGTAAGTTAGTTAATTTAAAATCCTGCCAAGTAACTGACTGCCAACCATTTTAAAGGGCAGAAGCCACTCCAAGACGACTTAGTTTTATTGTATGTGCCTATGGTATTATTAATCAGAAACTCTGTTCGTTTACGGAATATTTACGCGGTTCGCCCATTTTATACACAATTTGAACGCCCCGCCACTAGAAAATCTATTCCCCGCTCGACTAGCTTCCGGTTACGCAAGCAACCGGAAATGACGCATCACGAGGGAACATGATCCAGCTTGTTTCAGCCTGAACGCTTGGCAGCCATATTTGTTTTGCTTGTTTGCACGCTTGGCCGAAAGTTTGTACAATCGTAGAGGTATAGAAAGGACAGGAGAACGTTTGGTAAACGCAGTTATCTGGGGGTGTGTTTGTCAGCATGCCTAACCAGTGTGTGGCAGCGAACTGCACGAACAAGAGGGCGGATGGCTTTAGCCTTTTCCAGATGCCATCGGACGAAAATCTGCGGGCGAAGTGGATTCAGCAAATTCGCCGTACAAGATCTGGCCCGAACGGAAAGCTGTGGAACCCAACCAAGAACTCGTTTTTGTGCTGTGCACACTTCACAGAGGACTGCTTCAACCCTGTCTCAAAGTTGAAGCAACAGTTCGGGATTGAGATGAAACAACACAAGAAGTTCTTGTTGCCCGGGGCTGTTCCAACTATCTTTCCCCGTGCCCGAGGCACAGAGTCAGAGGCGAGCACGGCGCAGCCTAAAAAGCGCAGGAAATCTGGTGCAGTTGAGAAAAGGCGCAGAATTGAGGTGGGTTTTTAGGATTTTTATGTTATGAGCACTAGAGTCGTTGTTGTAGAATTCAAATGCGTTTATGGTGTCATTTTTGTACGATAAATTGTCGTCTGAGTGGGATAATTTGTCAGTAGCGAACATTCATTTATTTCCCGCATGGAATGTTTCGCTAGGCTGCTAACACGGGGACTCTACTCTTTCAAAACAAAATGTTTCACGACAAATAATGTTAGTTACTCAAACACTGACGTCTTCTACGAAAGACACTATAAAGTAGTCAAATTTCGGAGCAGGTAAGTCGGGAAAAATGTTCATAAATATGATAAATGGCGGCTGGGACATGTGTATACATGTATGTGGGGAGGGGGGCGCGGAAATGCAAAGATGAAGTTCGTGCGTTTTTGCTTAGCTATGCCGTGGCAGTCGACAACATAATTTCTCACCTGTATTTCTCACCTGTAGCCGGTCAATAGGTACCTTGTGTGGGTAATGAGACCGCACTTCGGGTAGTTTCGGCGGTAGCAATTCTTCTCATGTGTTCAGTACGTAAAGGTGTAGTTGTACATATCCTGGTGATTCTTCCACTCGTGTGCAATATGGTTCTTGAACTCATTTACTGATTTGCTAGACACTGCTTCCTAGGGAAAGTGATTTTTTTTACATGCATGATTTTCTTCCCATGTTGTGTCGAGAATTTTTGGAATGAAAATAAAATGCTTGGCATTAGGAGAAGAAGAAGAATTATGGAAATGCAGGGCACCAGATCTGGCTAAGTTCCTATGCTTGTCACTTGCTAAGGTAGGGGTAGATATACAAGAATAAATCATGATTATATTGTTGAGACTGTAAGGCCGTATTTATTTGATTATATTGAACACCAAAATATATGAGCGTGTAATAAAAAAAAAATTGTATATAAATGCTATGACATCAGCACATGGGTACAGTAGATATTGATTTATGCTGTCTTTATTACATATACCAGATACTTGGGGAATGTATGAATCAGCACCAAGAGTCTTCTGCTGATACAGAAGAGAGGGGAGATGGTGCAGGTTCTCTTGAAGAAAGTGATGGTGGCGTGCCTGTTGATGTAAGTGTTGACATCTATCACATGTATCAGTTATCAACAATCTATTGCATTTTCTCTTTTGTAATTGATCATAGGAATTTATACCGATGTACTACTTGTGTGTACATTTGTAGGTAAACCCAACAGAATTGCAGAATTCCTGTGACAGTGGGGTGCAGGTGTCCCTGAGGCCGCCACGCAAGCATAAGGGCATACAGTTCAAAGGATCTGGACGGACTAAAGGTATTTTATGCTAATACTATAGTTTTTAGTTGCCAAGTCATAGTCAAAAGTTTTCTTTTGGTAAAACAAATATGGGACACCCATCTCTTTTAAAATCTAATATTATGTTCCTACATCATTGACGATAAGCATAAATGTGTCATTATTTCATTACTACAATTTTCAATTTACAATTTTATCATTGCTTTACTGCAGGTGTGCAGTGCAGACCCACAACTGTCACAGTGGCCACACAAACTAATGAGGATGCGGAGGATAAGGATGCGGAGGATAAGGATGAGGAGGATAAGATGTCTGTGAGTAGTGCGAGCTCATGGGAGGACCAGGTAGCAGTGATCGCCGATGACCCTGACTACTACCCGTCCTCTGCCGAAGAGTCCGATTCTGAGGACGAAGTTGCCCAGCCACCGCAGGAAGACCAGCCCCCGCAGGAAGACCAGCCACCGCGACCAGACCGCCGCGTTTTCTTTGTGTTCTGGGTCTGCCTAGTCCAGCTGATCACTACATGGGATACTATCTACCTCTTACAAAATGTAGTTGATTCCATTGGTTGTCATACGTAACACAGTGCAACATTTATTAGTCCCAACAGGGGACTTTCTGACACATAGTATAGTTGATTGTACAATGTAAGTTTGAGAAGTAAAGTTGACTGATATTGCTGCTAATCCCAAGAAGGGATACTATCTACCTCTTACAAAATGTAGTTGATTCCATGGGTTGTCATACGTAACACAGTGCAACATTTATTAGTCCCAACAGGGGACACTTTCTGCCACATAGTATAGTTGATTGTACAAAGTTCTGAGTTTGAGAAGTAAAGTTGACTGATATTGTTGCTAATCCCAAGAAGGGATACTATCTACCTCTTACAAAATGTAGTTGATTCCATTGGTTGTCATACGTAACACAGTGCAACATTTATTAGTCCCAACAGGGGACTTTCTGACACATATCATTGTCGATTGTAGTTTTTACATATTACGAAGTTCTTAGCTAGAGAAATAAAGTTTCTACCAACTACACTATCAAAGGTAAAGTAGGTAGGCTTAGCACAAGTTCAGCAGAAGACATCTCTAGTCGTCAGCTTCCCGGAAGCCTGTGTAGTCTGGAGACGGGAAGTGGTTTCTTATAGCAGCCACAGTGCAAGAGGGCAGAGTAACCCGGTTCTTCTTTCCAAGGAACTCGTAGCACCAGCGCACAAACTGTCGGTACGCAGTGTACCGCTTCCAGCTGAAAAAGATTATGTATTGGTATTATGGTACTTAGATAAATTTACCCTTTCTTTCAAATCTAGTCCACAAGCAATACAAGTGATCATAATAGATAACTATCATGTTACAATTGCAGAAATCTTTTTTTGTGGTTTGGCTGAAACATACAATGATACATGTAACACATGAAATCTAGGATTGCCCATCTAGCTTATTGTTATAATTTTTGGCAAAGGCTAACCTTATCAAGTTATCATGATTAGTATTTTTTGTGTATTATTTTCATACTCACTCGTTTCCAAAGGTCAACCCGTAATGATCCCGATAAGCAAAGTATGCTGTTTCTAGTACGTCCACGGCTAGGCAGACTTGGGGAAATCCGTGGTGTTGGGTAATGCAGTCAATGCCGGGCTCCTTCTCCCTTCGCTCACAAACACGCATCTGCTCCCGGCAGCACACATTCTCCTTCACCTTTCGGTGGTCAACGCAGTTCCCACAAGTACACCTAGAAGACCAAACCCCAATAAGGAATTAAAAATTGTCATACGATTTGTAAAAATGTGATAAGAATTAGTTGTGAGCACAGCGTTTGTCTAAACAAACGCTGGCGGTGACTTCTGAAGGTCAGGGGTCGCACTAATCATCCACACGTATCGCCATGTTCCACTTGTTTTGGCGATCTTTCAAGACAATTTCCGCTCTACTTTCTTATTCTTTCATGGAGGTAACGAAAAAAACACAGATTAAAGAAATGGCTGCCTCCGGGGACGACAAAGACCAGAAGTAATGACGCTAATCCGCAGAAAGAAGGTACGGTACCGCGAGGTTAGAAAAACAACACAGGCCGCGGGGCGAACCCAAGGTCACAAAATCGTAATATTTTATACTACAAGTACGTCTCACCATAGCGAGTAATCTATATCCTATCACAGAAACCTAACAGCAAAATTACCTAAGCCTCACTTACCAGTCCATGTTCTGCAGTCGGGTTTCGCTATCGAGCGGAATTTGTCCGTCGATTTCAAGTTCCCCGCCATCAGCCATGGCGTCACCAGCGGCCTCACCTTCATCGTCGCTGTCAGAATTCGGCTCGTCTGACTGCACGTCAGAGAGATATGGCTCAAATCTGTAGGGCATGAGAACTCCTACGACCTCCTCCGAATCTGAGTTCGACTCAAATTCCTCACAGATACATTCTACGGTAGACGAGCAGTCAGAAAAAGTCTCAACTTCGTCAGCGTCCATGGTCGGTGTTGCCATTGTTAAAACAAACAGACAATTGGCAGATAGCGGGTGCGTCCCTTGTGTTACGTCACGGCATCACGTGACGGCTTCTGGAATGGGGCTACTACGCCGGGGTCGCGGCTTTCCAAAAACGACACTTTGAGAAGCTGTATAATCTTTATTTCTCGGTAAAAGTGACTACAAACACTTTTAACTTACTGTACTATATGTATATTTTTGATATCTATGCCTATTTCAGGTACTTTTTGAGGTGGCTTCTGCCCTTTAAAGTGTATAGTGTGGTGCATATTTCCTGTAATAGACCACTGGTAGTGGTGTGTGTGTTCATCTTCTATGCTTTCAATTAACTCCCATACAACACAGACTAATACAGCAGGGGCTTGAACACGGTGTACACTCTCATACTCTCAACTCCCATACACACAGGTCACTATAGCAGGGGACCTAGATGTGCTCTTAACTCCCAACACCCATACACACAGACTATGTACTGACTAGGGACTAGACCAATGGTAGTGGTGTGTATCTCCTATAATGTCAAATCCTAACTCCCATACACACAGGTCACTACAGCAGAGGCCATAACACTGGTAGTGGTGTGAGTACAACCCTTATACTCGTACTTCCAACTCCCATACACAAGGCCACTACAGCAGAGGCCATACCACTGGTAGTGGTGTGCGTACAACCCTTATACTCGAACTCCCAACTCCCATACACAGGGCCACTACAGCAGAGGGCAGGACCAATGCTACAGATGTGTGTACAGCTACCATACGCCATACACACAATACATCGGGGGTCGTCCACAGTAGCAAACCTCACTGAACACTTGTCAACTACAGCCGACCTTGCCCCGACTTACTCCCGACCATAGTGTGTGGTGGAGGATTTATTTATTTTCGGGAGGTTATATGTGACAGTAAGTTTTAAGATAGAGGAGCGCTGGTACAAATTTTTAACACTAAGACACAGGCCGATATTTATCACTGCCCAGTTTTATGTGTACAGTGGCCCGTATCTAATATGTAACTAGTACGTATACGTAGGTCATATCTTTGTACAAATTCACCCATTAACTTACGATAATGCCATGTCATATTTTGTAGCCACAAATGTAGAATACATTAGACTTGTAGTGTTGCTGTTTCCTCAGGTACCAACCATGCCATGTTTTTTCCTGTACGATATGCAAGGCAATTGTTTTTTCATCCATCCATCCATCCATCCATCCATCCATCCATCCATCCATCCATCCATCCGTCCATCCATCCATCCAATTTATCCGCCCATCCATTCATTCATTCATTCATTCATTCATTCATTCATTCATTCATTCATTCATTCCTTTTATGATAAAAATCAATTTACATGAAGTCATGCCTGCCAACATGTCTTGACAACAATTTTGTATATTATAAAAGACAGAATTCCGAATTTTCCTCCAGAAAGACAAGATTTTATTTTATATATTACACAAAAACATACTCAAAGAGAGAGAACATTCAAAAGAGAGTAGAATCTAAATTTGTTCTGCCATTCTGCTCCCGGCATATGACGTACATTATTAGGCCCGAGTCTCTGACATTTTACAGAAGACGTCATTGCGTGGTCGGCAACGTGCTTTCTTATGTAATTTTACTTCATTTTTTCTTCATTTTTTTCACGTGTACTCTGTTATTCTTGAGTGTTATTCTGTGCGTCATTTTAATTTTGAAGAATTACGTCTGCTGTCATATATCAAAGACTGAAAGCTCACGGGGACACCGGAAAGCCCCGTGGTATCATTTAACATAATTTGTCAGTAATAAGTGTTGTTTTTACCAGATATCTTGAACAAGGGACAGCAACCCCAGACACAAACCATAAGCTAGTGAAGCACAAATGTTAACCAAAGTCAACTACCATTCGTCATTATAGTAAAGACAAGAACAGAAAATACACAAACGGGTGATTGTTTTTCTGTTGTTGTTTGTTTCGCATAACCGGTAAACCGCCTTTACACGTAACACACCAGTTTTGTACATGTACGTTTATGTAAAACTGCGTAAGACCGGACTGTAAGGTTTAAACCACTCACACCGGGAAGGTTCCCTGCTCTTTTTGATACGTGCGGTGGGTTCTTTACTTAACGTGTGTGGATTGTGGCTCTCCCCAAACACGGCACCTCCATTTAAAATAACGTCCTATCCGAGGGACGTCCCTAACCGAAGCTAGGTACTTATTTCCACCTGAGCGAAGTGAGGAAAGTCGTGTAAAGTGCCTTTCCCGAGAGCACCACATCAGTGACATGAATAGTATTGTGCTGTAGTATCATGGAAAGCCACCAGGTGGCTAGAATATTATCTTTGTCTTTCAAAGGCACATGTACCCACCATGCAAATATAGTCACCATCTATTTGTGACTTTTCAAGTTTTACTAACAATGACACGACGTGAGAATACAAACAGGCAGAACAACGAAACACAGAGAAAGCAATGTCCCTTTTTTTAGTAAGGCAAGGTGGCATGGAGGTAAAAATGGTGCAATCTACCATCTATGGTGCTTGCATAAATTAATTAAAAAAAACAAAATCATACGTATCAACATACTCTAGAGTTCACTCCATCTCCTGTGTATGACTTTTTGGCCTTCTGTCATTCTTCCTACTAATCTTGACCCCCCTCCCCCTAACCCGCACGTTCTGTCAACCAAAAATAGAAAGAATCTGTTGACCCTTACCTTTGCCAGAACAGACAACTTCTAGCAAAACTTTGTTCTGCTGTATTTCAGAGAAGACGTTTATGAAACTAAATCTGACCTTTCTAGCTTTCTGATGTTATGACGCATATATAGGGGTCGAGCTTCTTAGGTTAAGTTATTAATCATAATACGTCAATGCACAGTCTGGAACAGCAGAAACCTAAATTGCCACGTGCCAACATGATACTAGCTTGAGGACACAAGCCTTCTAGCGGCTTGTTTGGTGTCGGGTGCTGGCGTAGTGGTACGTAGAGCGTTCGACTATGAAACGGCGCGACCTCGTGTCTTAGGATCTTTTTTTTTTTAATTTCTGATTTTAATTTTTTGTTAACAGAAAGGTGAAAAGACGGCATTTTTTTACATCTTTCGCACTCAATTGCTTATAATTCAAAATCAAGGTCATTTTTCGTAAATCCTTGAGAAACGACTCTGGACAAACCCGTCACGATCATGTTTAGCCGTCAATGAGATATGTTGGACTCTTCATGCTTCTAATTGTAAACGAGTTTTGCCCGCATGTCATGCGGCATGAATATGAGGACTGTTTATTTATGCTGACGTAAACAAGTATTGCGACCTTTAAGGACACCCACGATGACGGTAGTAGCTTCGTTTTATGCTCCATGTCCACTACAAAAGGACTGCAGACATTTACTGTCCAGGAAATGGTTTATATTTGTAAAAGGGTGGATTTTTCTTTGTTAGAAAGTACCCGTGTGAAGAGGGGCCGTTAAACCCAGGTTTACTGTAAATGACCGCGGGTGACCCCATTTCGAACACCGTTCTGTTCGAATTACGTCATATCGAACATGGTTCGGGTCTACTTCAGGTGGAGATACCGGGGCCCAAATTTGACCATCGTGCCCCATCCAATAGTCAATTCCCTAACACACCTAAATCAGGGGAATTGAGAACACAGGCAACAGGCAAAAAAATTCAACATAATACATCAATTATATTTACAACAATATATGAAATAATAAAAAAGGAATGACGATGGAAATGATAATAAGGTCATGGTAAATAATAATAATTGTAACACTAAAATCAAGAGTAATATTGATATTTGTAATTATAATAATATTAGTATTGATAGTAAAGATTAAAGCAATAATAATGTAATAATAAGTCGTGTAGATTTTAGCAGGTTATAGCTGTGAGTTCAGAGCTCAAAGTCAGACCTAGTTGAACACCTATTTTAAAAACTGACGGAAGTATACACTGTTTTATGAGATGCGGCAGATGGTTCAATGTGTTAGCACCTTTATATAAAAAACAACTTGCACTTTCCACGTTTCAAGCATAGTGGTGGCATTTTCCAGGATAGATTTTGTTGGGTGAGATTTGTCAGTCTGGGCAGCTGTGACATTCAGAATCCATCTAAAAGCTTTTGATGTACCATAGAAGTTCATTTTTTGACTGCCTTGTACATTGATGGTAGCAAGTGCAATTTTGTTCTGGATTTTGGGGGTTTCCAGCCTAAGACATACAATATATACTAAAACATCGTTTGTATTCTAAGATTTTGGAGGCGTATGGCCACAGGCTTTAGGAAAGGAAGGCCAAATCAGCCGCTGGCAGCAAAAGATTATGTGACAGAAGCTAGTACCTCGAACAAAGGGAACAAGACGTAGTAGTGGACTACCAAATTAACTGCACCAATTCCGCTCTATAAGCATGCTTAAATATGCTTAAAGTTCTGTTTCGTTACTTTAAGTTAGTTTAGTTGGTATTTACGCGTGCTTAATTGAATAACTGCCTTTACGTTTGTCCATAAATAAAATGTACGTAGTGGTACGCATTCAAGCAACTTTTAAACAATGTAAATTGCTGAATTTACTTTTATAAAAATAAAAGTTGTGGAGAATTACTAGAAAAGAACGAAAACCCTTGACTGCCATTTCTATGCTATATATGGCAAACGGAAAAACTGAATATGTATAAAACACCGACATGATACATATATGTTTCATTATCTCTTAATTTTTGGTCAATTCAGATACAAAGCAAACATATGCGACTAGGCATCCTCTTGCTACACATAACACCGTGGTTTCTAATCATGAAATTATTGGACTGTATTTTGTAAATTATTGCTGATAGATTTTATATACAGATAGACAGGTAATTAACTGGTAATATTAGCTCATTGGATTGATATGAACAAATCGGATGTATACCCTTACAGTTTGTTGCTTTTCTGAAAAGATTAGAAAATGATTCTGATTTACTCAATAATGCTTTAAATTCTGTTTTGGGGTTGGTGGACTACTATCTCTTTACAGCCAGGGTCTAAATTGTATAAATGTCTAAACTGCAAGGACCTCACAATTAGCGATGCCAGCTTCATATCTAAAGCCCCTGTCACACATTCAGAACCATCCCCTGACCGAAAACCAACAAATCTTGGCTGAAGGTCTGGAGCTGTCTGACCAGATTTAAGCCATGACTATATTTGAATACTAAACGAATCAAATCTGAGTTAAATTTAAGTCAAATTTAAATCCAGAACGACCTTCG